TATTTATTTACATTGTAGTGATTTCTGTCTGTCCTTCATGTTGCAGCTTAGGCAATTGCAATCCGAAATCAATATGTTGGATGATGAAAAACGAGAACTGGAGGTTGGTTTTGTTTTTCTTGTAATTGGTTGTTTGCTGCTTAATTGACTTTCTTTTATTGGTTGCTTCTTGCATAATTTTGGAGATAGTCTTTCCACTGGATTTCTTTTTTAATTATATTTCTAAGCAAGTGCTTGCCAGTTATGTCTTTGGTATTTTTTTATCATATGCATTTATATATATCCTTTGATTTATTTATAGACCAAATCTGATTGGACTATGAATTCATGTGTCTAACATGTACAGGTGTGTATCGGTACATGCATAAATGTTTTTTCTTCCTTTTCACGTGTGTATTGCAAAGGTATAATAAAGATAATGAGATTGGTGATTTAATAATCCATGTATCGCTATCAGGCTATACTAGTATTTCATGAAAAGTCAAATATTATACGAGAAGTAGGCTCTTCAATCCGTCAGAAGTTCAATATGATTTTATGTTTTTTTTTTTTGATGACATGGGAAACCCGCAGCCGCTACCCTTTGGGTGCGCACAGGGTAAAACCCCCGCTCCTATGCAATAGCTCGCAAACCACATAGGAGAGGTAACATGCACTAGGCAAGCCCGGTGCGGCGAGCTCGACCCAGAAGGCAAACCCCTTGCTTTCGCTGGCAAGGGGTTTTGAACTTGATCACAGCAATAGTGAAGTTTCTGACCTAAGTTAGAAGCTCAAACCTTTAATCTTTTGTGCTAACTTATAGCAGTGAAATAGATGTTAATTATTAGAGAAGTCTTTGCTCTTCTATCTATTTATTCATTTGCCATTAGCAGATGTAAAGGCTCTCATTAATGTTTACTTGCCTCCATTTCACTCTCTTCTTAGTTCTTTCTTCGACAGACTATTCTACTTCCTTTCTCTGTGCCCTTCCCCTTCTATTTAACATATTCTTTTGCTCCTTGCTTTAACATTTCAAGTTTATTCCTCAATACTTCTCTTTTTTGGTTGGAACTTGGAAGATATACCTTGAAGAGACAACTTGTCAGGCAGAAAGTCTAGCTTCAAAAAATCAGGAACTAGAGATGGAACTTTTCAAGGAAAAGGAGGAACGTAGAAGGTAACTATTTGTTATAATGCATTTCAAAATCTTTTAATTTGAGTCTGGATATACCTTTTCCTTACGTCCTGTCCATCCAATCCTGGCTTTTCCCCCAGGATTACTTCGAAGACTAAGCAGTTCATTGAAGCATATAATAATCACTCACGGTTAGAAGCTGAACTGAAGAGGTATTGTAACAATATTGCTTCTTCTATTGACTTCCTCCTCCCCATCCACTCCAGATTCTTGTCATCTAAAATCATTGGTCAATTTCTGTTACTTTTTGTCTCCATGAACACTCAGTGGTGATAGTGCAATTGTAGGTCAGAAGCTCAGCTTCAAAAGCTCGCTAATAAACTAAGCTCAGATTTCATCAGAACTGGTGCAAGTGAAGAGGATTCTGCCATCAACTTTAGTGATGAAGGGATGGCTGGTAATCATTTTAGCTCATTGGTAGAGCAGCAGAAGAATACATCACCTACCAAGAAAAGGCCAAGAATTCATCATGAAGCTGATGAAACGTCAAATCAAGGTAAGAAATGACGATTATGTCTTAAGAGTGTAGCTTTTCAAATAAAATAATTGTACCTGTGCTTCTTATCATAATCTAGAGCACTTGAGCTGAATTTTCTAATTTGTCATCAGCTTTAGGTGTGCTTGCCTTTTTTATGTAATTGGTTTTCTTTCCTGAACAAAACTGCCTAGGACCTCAGAGTATGTCTCAGTGCCCTGCTGTTCTTTCGGTAAATATATAGAGTCGAAGCGGTTGTTGCAGTCTTGGGCCGAAATAATTCATACTAAGTGCTTGTTTCTTGCTCATCTTTTACAAATTCAGTTCCCCCATACTCAACTGAAGTCAGTTGACTAAGACAGTCTACGAAGATGTGAATAATAATTGAATCTAAGAAAAAGAATATCTTAGATTGTGTATAGATAGTTTAAATGAATTTCGATTATTGTATTTGGTGTGACAAGTTACTGTAGTTCTCATTCAGCACTGTGATTTTCTAATCATCATTGCTTATTGTGATGATTATTTTGGCTATTGGAATTTTGGATTTAGACAGATAAAGAGTTCAAGAGCTATGGTAGTTAATGCTCTTTGTCCCAAAAAGTTCATCACTTCCTCACTTCGTGATAGTAAAATATTATTTTAATCTGGCTAAATGTTCTAACTTCTAAGTATTCTTCTTGTACTTATCAGCCAAGAAAAAGATATGTTTAATATTTTCTAAATCTCAAATTTTGTTTTCAAAAGTGGATTATCTATGTCCAGGTTAACTTTGAAATTGGTCAACTGATTGTTGAAAAGTGTAATGTGACTATTAGATTTGAAAGATGATGTAGATAACATGGAAGTCGAAATTTCTGTGTTTGCTGATAAGTGATAAGTCTCATTCTTGTAGGTCTAATGCAGCATGATGTTTCTGTCATGTCTCTGAGTGACAACTGTTTTATTTATTGCAATTTGAAAATAAGTAGTAAAGTACATTTCAGTGATGGTGCATGATAAGGTGTATACAGTTGAGTGAATAGAATTTTTCTTGGGTATTGATTCTGTGTTAGACGTGATGTGTAAGTCAATTCTTTCACATATACTCCTAGTATATCTTCAGAAATTCTGTTTTAACCTTAAGACAGATAGTGAAGAGACCTGCTACTTCAAGAAGAGGAAAGGATGTAGGAGAGACAGAAAAAGTGGGGTGGGGAGGGAGAAAGAGACAAAAAGCAGAAAGTAGAAATCATCAAATATACTGGGCTTGGGACTTCCATGTTGGAGGTCTCAAGTTCGAAACCCCTTGCCAGTGAAAGCAAGCAAGGGGTTTCCCTTCTGGGTCAAGCTCGTTGCACCGGGCTTGCCTAGTGCGGGTTACCTCTCCTATGTGGTTTGCGAGCTATTGCATAGGAGTGGGGTTTTACCCTGTGCGCACCCAAAGGGTAGTGGCTGCGGGTTTCCCTTGTCATCAAAAAACAAAAAAATCTTGTCCAGCTAATCCAAAATAGAATCCTAACAGCAGATGCACAGGTATATAGAACAAACAATCCACATGATTAAGTTACATGTAACTCCAATTTATGTTGATCTTTATGGATGCCTTTGATTAGTAACTGTCGTTTCTGTTTCTCAAACATTACTGGAAACTTGGAAAGGGATGAAAGACATGCTGGTCTGCAGCCTTAGGCAGTTGAGCTATGCAAAATATGAAGCTGTGAAAATAGGAGTCAAGTTAGTTATAAGAAATATGACAATTAGCACATCTAGACTAGTGAGTTACTTAATTTTCCGCCTTTCCCCCTAGTTTGTTCTGGAGGGATATATTTTATGATGCTGAGGACATTTGGAAAGCATACATGGATCAATAGGGAATCACAAGGAGAGATAGAAAAGAAAGTGGCACCTTAAGTTAACAGCTCATTGCAATAACCCACACTTTTTTGGACATTGGCATGCCTTGAACTGCCTGCTACGTGTAAATAGTAAAATTTTAAGTAGAAAAAATGTAAATGAGGATGGTACACCTCAAAGTCCTTTCTCTACTCATTTGACTTAAAATCCATTCATTCAGTATTATCCCATCCTACTTTTTTATGTTTTTGATGATTATACTCTAGATGTATGCACGGCAATGCAGCCTTATTTTCTTACCTTAGCGACATTTTAATTTCTAAATAAGAGATGCTCTTTTACTTGAAAACTAATATTATAAAAGTGAAACAAAAAGAGTAAGATCCTTAATTTCAGTGATAGATGCTTGAGTTTCAGTCTAGATGGTATGAAACATCAATTCTTCAATGCTCTCATTCCTACTTGTGTCTTAACCTTTTCATGTTTGAGTTTACTGTATTTCTACTCCATCTAGACCTTATTTGCCACACTGTATATTTGCAGTATGCACAACATTTGACTCACAGTATCATTAAAGCTCCCTTCTTGTGAAACATTCAACAACATACCCAATGAACATTAGATCTTGAAAATCGAAGTTCTTGAAATCCCTTGTGAATTTGATGTCTCTAAACTCCTATTACCTTTGACAACTCTCTCTATAACAGCGTCAACAAGAGCAAAAGGAAATGGTGCGCAGAGGATTGCTTATCCTACTCAGCTGAGTAATGAGAAGAAAGACGAGGCAGAGTTCAAGTGGGAGACCGTAGTGGGTGAAGAGAAATCTAAGAAGGGGATAAACTTTTCCAATGACATGACTTTCACTAACAAGGTGCTCCTTTTACTTTAAACTTCATAGCCCCCACTGTCCCCCCCAAAACCAGAAAAAGTTAAAGAGGAACTGTGCCGAACTTAAAAAGGAGTCCTGTCTCCTTTCATATCTTGGACAATATACAATTACATTCTTATTCTGATGTTTTTCTGATGCTCTTTTCGATATGGTTTACATTAAATTAACAAAACTGATATGGAATAGCATGTGGACTTAATGGGAAGTAGGATGAAGTGACAATATGAGGGATCACTTGTCAGAAAAGAGAAGATTTCTTGTGAATGATAGGTTCTACTTTATGATGCAAATCAAAGTTCTTGGAATCTCTTGTGAGTTTTGGTTTCTCCGACTCTTTTTACCTTTGGCACCTCGCTCTGTAACAGTTTCGTCAAATGGATAATGGACGTGTCAATTGTCCACTGAGTTTTGAACAGTCCACCGCTGGTATTCTGAGGATTTCTCGGTTATCAAAATATTGAAGTATGCATCAGTAGTCCCCTGAATATGGCATATGACTAAATTTGAATATCATTTTTCGAATGGAAGAATGTAACTATGTCCAGTTGTATTATTTTATTAATTTTGCAGAGGCATGTCCTTTGCCTTGGGTGTTTTCTAGATTGAGAAATGGAAGTTGTAGTTTATGCCTGATGGAAGTTGTTCTTAGTTCCATGCTGCAAATAAAAATGAAGGATATTGCATCTTTAGAGCATTTTATTTCTTATGCTTGCTGTTGAAGAAATGATAAATGCATTCTTCAAATTCTGCAGCCCAAAGCTTCTGAGATTGCTGTTGTTTTGCCATCAACCAGCATGGCCGCTCATGCAAAGGATGAAGATGTTGAAGTTGGTGAGACAGAGGAAAAGCTTGAAGTAGCTGGGAATGCTACAAGAAGAGCTGGGAAGGGAGTTCCTTCTGGTATCGCAGAATATCCTTTTCTACCACCTCCTCCTCCTCTTCCTCGAGGTGCTAGTTTGCAGGTTAGTTCAATAACTGAACCAGTTCATATCTAGCATGCAAAATGTATGTATGTGCCTGTAAGTTCTTTCTGTTTGCAATCTACTTTAGTGCAACACCATCAGTTTTTATCTGCTTTTTGGTTGGTTTGCAAAACTACAAGTGGGTGATCAGTAAAACTGTGTGAAAAGTAAAAAGAAGAAGATTCATTCATGAACTTTGCCCACCCAAGAATTAAGCAGGCAGACTACATTGTAGTCATCAGATTCTTGCCAAAAGCCGCAGCATTCTCCTTGTTCTTGATGTTTGACCATCTCCAAATCGTTAATCTATATTCATAATTTGTCTGATTATCTGTGATCCTGCCTTGTTTTGTTGTATTCATAAGCTGAGTATGCAAGAGTACTAATTTAATATGAGCGATTCGACTTCTCCTTGCAGCATAAGCGTGATGATGCAGGTGATGATGCAGATGGGCGTGATGAAGAGATGTTGGAGGTGGATATTGTTTAGCATAGTGATCAGTATGTTGCCATTGTAGGATGTGACTTTGTACACCGCTGGTGCATATGTAGGGGAATAGAGCTAATGAACTGGAAATTATGGTCAGTCTGGCCAACACATACAAGTGTTTTTGGATACTAAACGTTGTTATCGACCAAACAAACTGTGAATGGTGCTTTTAAGCTTTGGTTACCAGATTATTTTTTTTGTACAGCAAGCCAGTAGTTTTGAGTCTCTTAATCTTTGAGTATTTGAGGTGTGCTCGTCTATAAAGAAACACATAAATTTCCATTACCTCTATAATTGTCACTTATTATTTCTTATAATTGTTTTGCTTAATTTACACTAAAATCATGCACAACGCTTCAGATATTTACAGATAACATTGCATTGACAAAATTGAGACATACTTGAATTACACCTTATAGTACTCTTGAAGAAAAGCTTAGTGTGGGAAATGGATGAACAGATCCATTTCTAATCACATGAAGGTGCAATTGACAACTTGGTTTATTCACTTTCAAGTATATGACTGTAGGAAGTACGGAGGGTACGTAAAAAGTCATTTCACTAAATACTTATGGGTTAACTAACATATACGAAAAGATGAAAAAATCACCTAATTCCTATAAAATGGCTCCTATATGCCCAAAAATGTAGCGGATCATGGTGAGATTATCTGTATTGCTCTAGGATCCATTTTTATACATGTGTATAGTCTCATTATGACCGCGACATTTTTGGGAATTTAGGAGCATTTTTATATGAATTAGGCGATTTTCTTTATTTTTGTATATGTTAGCCCATGAATATTTTGTAAAATGGCTTCCGGATGATTTAAAAAAAAAAACTTTACGAGACCTTTGTAAAGAGTTGAGGGAGCAGTACATATAGCCTTGTGATGATCAGTGACATGTTGGGGCATTCAGGAGCCATTTTATAGGAATCAGGTGGTTTTTACAATTTCCATGTGTTAGTCCATGAATATTTGGTGAAATGGCTTCCGGACGATTTTTTTGAAAAACTTATACGAGACCCTCTGTAAGGAGTTGGGAGAGTAGTACGTTAATCTCACCATGATTTGTGACATTTTTGGGTATTTAGGAGCCATTTTATAGTAATTAGGCCATTTTTTCAATTTTTTTGTGTATGTTAGCTCATGAATATTTGGTGAAATGGCTTTCGGGCGATTTTTTTGGAAAAACTTTATGAGACCCCCCATAAGGAATTGGGATAGTTGTACGTATAGCCCTCACCATGATCTGCGGCAGATTTTGGCATTTAGAAGTCATTTTTATAGGAATTAGGCTAAAAAAAAAATTCAAATTTTTAGTATGTGTTGGCCCATGAATATTTGGTGAAATGACTTTCGGACAACTTTTTTTAATAAACTTTACGAGACTCCTTAAGAAATTGGTGTAGCAGTACGCGTAGTCTCACAATGATCCGCAACATTTTTGGACATTTAGGAGCCATTTTATAGGAATTAGGTTTCGTGTGTAGTATAGCCCACGAATATTTTGGTGAAATGGCTTCCGAACGTTTTTTTCGAAAAAAAAAATTACGAGACCCTCCATAAGGATTTGGGGAAACAGTAAATATAATTTCACCATGATCCACAACATTTTTGGGCATTTAGAAGCCAATTTTATAGGAATTTGACAATTTTTTCAAATTTTCATGTATGTTAACCCATGAATAATGGATGAAATGGCTTCCAAACAATTGTTTTTAAAAAACTTTATGATAATATGGCTTTTAGGCGTTTTTTTTTTTAAAAAAAAAAGTTACATAACCCTCCGTAATAAGTTGGACAAGAAGTACGTATAGATTCACCATGATCCACGACATAAATCCAGCGCAACCAGCCCATCGACTGCCTAGGCATGTGTCTGTTGTTAAATAGATTTGCATTATGGAAAACTGACATTCTTGTGCTGACTAGTTTTTTCTCAAGAATACAGCACAATAATATAGAATTATGAAGTTACCTGTTCTGCATACAACAGAGTAATATACAAAAGTTTTTTCCTTGAACCTCAAAACTATAAAGTTGCAGGTACCAGAAAAAGATGTAATTGAGTTAAAAATATGAACTCACAGCCCAAAGTTGAAGAGGACGGTGAGACCTAAAACAAACCAAAATGTTAGAACTCATTTGGATATGCACCTAAGCAGTTCCGAAAAACTGCTCCAAAGACGTTGAACTGAAGACATTCATAGCAGTTCTTTCTGACTTGGTAGGCGTAATGTGTAGCTCATATTTGATAAATCTCTGCAATCAGTTAGTATCAACACATCAGATTTCAATAGAGGAAAATCACTCAAATCTGCATAGCCACACTGCCATTTAAACAATAATCTGAAAAATCTAATCTCTTAGTGGTCAATACTCGATTAATAAACAGGCAAGAGACGAGTAACTGTATGTGTTTGTAAAAGGCATTCACATTAACAGACAAGAAATTAAAAGGCTAAACTTGCAAATTTCCTAATACCAGAAGAACATAAATATTTTAGAAAGCCTGCTTAGAATTGTTGGAAATATAACAGAGGTTGAAGTTGTTTCCTTTGGGAAAGAGATCTAACTAATGCATGGTAGATAAACGGATATATTCATTGTTTAATGATACTTCTACTTTTCTTCATGAATTAGTATGTTTTCTGAAACAGAGAAAAAAAATATGATCATGGGACGCTCATGCTGACAGTCAATAGGAAACAAGGAGTACCGCTAATTGAAAAACAATTTCCGGATTTGTATCAATGTGCCAATCAGGTTCCAGTTGTCGGACAAATGATGTTCGTCCATTCTCAATGCTACAAAAGAGAACCTGTATAACAATCTAATCAGTAATACATAAATGCATAATACACTTGTACAAGAAAGACGACCATTAATGGCACCTGACTGCTGAGCCATCAATTCAACTGCTGCATCTTATATCAAACATTCAAATAATGACAGCTGGGATACTAAATCATTTTTATACAACTCAATTCACATTTTGCTGGTACAAATCTACTCTCTATATAGATTTTAACCAATCATTATGTTACTCCCTACATAGTCAAAAACAATAACATTTGGTGATGACTCTTCATGATAATTGAGGACTGCCTATTATCTGCTTTCAAGTAAGACTGTAACTAGAAAGAGAGCCCCTAAATAAAATATGAACAAAGTCGACTAATAGTGTAACGTGAGTAGTAGACCAGAGCTTTGATTGATGAACCTCAATTTTTGGGAATGATGAAAGCTTCTTCAAGAACTCTCAGAGAGATTCATTTGTGTGTGCGTGTGTGCGTGTGTGTGTGTGGGGGGGGGGGGGAGAGAGAGACCTGTGTATATATACCTTGCAAAGGAAGAGTGTGATACAATTTTCTGGTTGTGAAAATGGTCCGGTGGGTGATGCTGGCAAATTGTTTGTTGTTGCGTCTACTGGCTGTTTTTGGTGAAGCCACCGTGGAGAAAGATAAAATCTAGTAGTCTAGAGGTGGTGTAATGGTGTGGAGAGGTGATGGATGGTGTTCCAGATGATGAGAGTGGTTGGCTGAGATACCAAATTCTATTGTTTGGGAAAATTTGTTCCTTATTTTTTTTTGTTGATGACAATGTATTTTTTTAGAGGTTTGATTGGCCAAGCTGCAGGATCAAAAGAGAGTGAAAGTCACACATTTGTTGTTGGCGTGGATCTGTAAAATTTGTGCTTAATAGACAGTTTTGGAAGCATTAAGTTTTCAATAGGTATGATGATGAGGTACCAAAATGGAAAAAATGTGACAAAGTTTTAAGCTCTGTCGATGTATTGGGCCTATCTTTTAAGTGTGTAAGAGCATAAAGGAATATAGTTGCAAAGAGGATGGTAAGATTATATTCATGACCCAACAAATTATGAGAATGTCGTTTTTCTGAAAAAAAGAACAAAGTTTAAGTATATAGGTTAAATTTGTCCCCTATAAATTAAAAGAACAGTTGTGCTACACAACTTTAAAGAAGGGATTAGGACGTTAACGTAGTACTAGAAATCCACAAGGAACATATATTTTACAAACCAAAACCTCAGGGGAGACTTTTGTACTACAATTAAAAGGAAACTTTTCCTAAGCAGAGGACATTAGCTTATGGTACAAGATAAAGATCACACATCCAGAACTGCAGAGCAGTTGGAAGAATAAATCATCTCGTCCAGGATGAGGATGCTAATATGCAGACAGAAGGAAAAATATTCACACACGCATGGTTGAGATTAAAAGTTGCAGAGATCACCCATTGTAAAACAAACATAATAACAAGAGCTCCATGAAAGTATTATAAACGGATTTTGACTTCCATTGGCAGTTGAACAATGATTAGTTGTTACCTTGTCTTTGACTATGCCACCAGATGTAAACACTCCAGCATCTTCTAAAGCCAGTAGGACCTTTTTCTGCAAATATTTGTACATTTCAAGAATATGTATGCAAGAAAAAGAATGTGTTGATACAAATGCAGATTACTCATAAAAACTGAATGAGCGTGGATCAACACTGCAGCCACCATTAAGATGCACCATATAGGATAGTGGGTGCTAAGAAATGAATCATGCACCGAATATGAGAACTTCATGAAGTCATGAAATAGTAGACAAGACCAGATGTTCAGAAAGGAGAAACCCAAAAGAAGCTCAAACATGGTCATCTTATCACATTTTAGTTTGACTTAATACCAAAGAAAGCTATTTTGTTAAATTATGCAGATTAGTAAGTGAAAATGTTCTACTAAACAAGTAAACGATGAATGTTGGTTAATGTGTGCGATGATTAATTAATGTGATGTAAGTTTTCCCAAGAAAATAAAAACAGAGAGAGAAGAGTGTATTGCTTAGGCAACTATTTTTTTAGAGTTACTTAAGATTTAGCATCAAAGATACGTCTTTTTTATCTTTTTGGATTTTAAATTTAGGGATCAGTTCAGAAGCCAATTTTATTTGGCATACAAAGCCAATCAACAATGACAGCCTTTTCCTTTTCATTTTGAAAAAGGCATCAAATGGCATCCGACCCCCAAAATTATCCTCTCTGAGTCAGGCAATGAAGATAAATGTTTTTAAAAGGGATTGGATCTCTAGCAACTACTAATCAACATACAATTGGAATATAATAGAGTGAGCACTAACTTCACTTTCGTCATCAAGTACTCTCTCCATGAGATAAAGATCACAAAATTTGGTGATTTCGAGCAACACTTCAAGCGCGGAGGATCGAACAGTAGCTTGTTTCTGCAAAGGAAAAGTAAAAACATTGTCAACTGCATGTTTAAAATTGTTGCACAATCAACAAAAATAATAATAACCTGTAGTTCCTCTGGGCTCGTTTCCTCCAGGATTACTCCAAGCAACCGACATGTTACCTGTAAAGTGAAATAATATGCAGATTGTCCAAGTTATATACGCTACTGTGACAAAAATAAAAATAAACAGTCTCTACCACTGTCAAACAGAATCAGGAAAGTGATGCCAGAATGCAAAACCTTGAACAGATAAGATTTGGTTGAGTAGCACATTCTTTCTTAAAATTGAGGTAGAGACTACCATCATTCTCTCAGTTATTTTTGATGTTGCAATCAGTAAATTACTTTATCATATCCTAACTAAGTTCCCGTAAGGCTACCCCCGTTAGAAGTGCAAACTGTGCATGCTAGGGTAGGCTTCAACATAGACTTAGCTAAGAAGAAAATGCAATAACACCAAAGGATCTATATAATATGATCATGATGTCGTTATTGTTGTTACACTTACATTTGGTCAGTCAGTGTGGTCAATGGCATCTAGTGGCTGACAAGTCTGGTTGCTGTCACAGGCTCTTTTGTTCTGGTTAATGACTCATATGTCCTCACTGTTTGTAGTCGGTTGTTTAGTGTGTTTTGATTGTCGCACTCTGTTTTTTTCCTCACTATTTTCTTACTATTTGTACTTGGATTTGCTACACTTGAGTCGAGGGTTTTTTGGAAACAGCCTCTCTACCTCCACGAGGTAGTGGTAAGGTCTACGTACACTCTACCCTCTCCAGACCCCACTTGTGGGATTCCACCGAGTATGTTGTTGTTGACTTCTTGTTGTTATAATGACTCGTATGTCCTTACAGTGATAAGCATAAATTTACAAAGCTAATTTTTAGAAATTCTAATTCGTTTTAAAAAGTACAAATGTATACAGAAATAGCCAACCAAAACTAGTTTTTAGAATTGAGGCATAGTTGGTATAAAATAGGACCTGAATAAAGCCGAATTGAAATAGAGGTGTTTTATATCAATCCAACTAATGTGGGGTTGAGGTGTAGCTGTGATAATAGCAGGGTGCAATTCTACGTGATAATAAAAATATAATTCTATTAACCTACTACAACAACCTCTCGCCTATTTGTGTGATACACTTTCCTTTCTAGTCTATCCCGGAAAGAATGAGATATTTCGCTTTTCAAAAACTATTTGATCTTAACATTGGCGTCTTACCCGTAATCAATGTCTTCTTGGACCCACTTGATATCAAAGTTTATTCTTTTACAAGGCAAGGAGAGTCAAACTAAAAGATATGTGGAACTCTTGTAATCACTTATCAAACAAGAATACTTTTGGTACTTTGCATATATTTGGCTTACATATCAAAAGCCTGTCTTAGTTTCTTAAACTTAGGGTCCAACCAAACAACTTCACATAAAATGAGATGGAGCATAAAGTTATGCCTCCAATTAATTACTTCCAAACTATACTTCAAATGCACAAAACATTGACAGAAAGAAGCCCCCTTTATTCAATAAACTAAATGGCTACCAACTTATTCTTAGGAAGATTGTCTCAAAAAAAAACTTATTCTTAGGAAGTTAAGACATTAATTGGACCAAAGAAGCAATGATCGTGTGTCAAGTAAAAGATGTGTACTACTCTCTTTTCTTGACAATGGGTTGAAAGGGGAGACACATTGTGCTCATTCATGGTGATGCAAAGGGGTGGAACAAGAAAAGATACTCCACATGTCCTCTACCATATTTTTCAAATTACGAATGTCATAGTGAGAGTAAGTTCAATTTTAGGGAATGAATAGATTACAAGTGTAGCAACCTGTCATTTTTGGGATTACGTAGACATTAACTTGAACTTTGAGTAATTTACTCAATTATAGCTTTCCTTTTAACAATTCACATATAAATATGCGGACACACTTGAGACCTCATCTTTGATTGTGTTGGTTTGTTCATTCATAAATTGGGTAAATAAGTACACAAGCACAATACGGATACTTGGTGTAATACCCATGGTTATAGTCTTATAGGAAACTCCTTTATGTTTTCTTCTATTTCTCCCTCTAATGGCGGGTCCTTCATACATGTCTTTTATGATATTCAAATATTTAGCATGAAGTCCTTTCTTTTCCTATGCCACCAAATGACATTTCTTGATACTCTATCATATTCTTTCTCCAAGTTGATAAACCATGTGTAGATCTTTTTTCCTCTCAATATAAATTTTCTAAATCTTCTTAGCAAAAATATACTAGCTTTTGTTGTGGATCTACTGGGTATAATTACAAACTGATTCTCAATGACACTTATAGTGTCCTTAAGTCTATGTTATATCACTCTTTCCTAGAATTTTATCGTAGCATGTATATAATGTATTAGTTAGAGAATCAAATAAGTGGCTAGTTCACCAAATTCACACATCACATTGATGATTTGATAACTGGGTGACTTTGGACAAAAATGCAAAGGAGAAGGAAATGGGGCCAAGCCAACTTTTTGTCGGCTCATGTTTTAAACGGCTTAAAGAAGGGAAAATATAAATTGTGTTTTTGTAGAAAAAATTAAGAGAAACAAAAATACAGAGGGATCTTTGGGGGAGGCGTTAAGTAGGGTCAGAACTGCTTTTTGAATCATCTATGGACGTTAACGTTTAGGAGAACTTTTTTGAAAAGGGACACAAAGCATTAGCTCAAGAAACAACAAAAAACTAAGAAGAGTTTTTTATATAACCGGTAAATTCGGAAATCGCGATTTTTTTTATTTTTTTTGATGACTAGGGAAACCCGCAGCCGCTACCCTTTGGGTGAGCACAGGGTAAACCCCCGTTCCTATGCAATAGCTTGCAAACTACATAGGAGAGGTAATCCGCACTAGGCAAGCCTGGTGCGACGAGCTCGACCCAGAAGGCAAACCCCTTGCTTTCGCTGGCAAGGGGTTTCGAACTTGAGACCTCCAACATGGAAGTCCCAAGCTCAAACCACTGGGCCACCCCGAAGGGTAATCGCGATTTATAGTATATAGTGATATTTTCATACTTTAAGATTTATTATATAGAAGATTCTTCTTAACTTTTCATTGTCTCCTGAGAAAACATACTCATTTAATTCTCAACTTCATACATTATATGGATGTATGTTATGCTCACAAGTGCATGCATCTATAAATTATACAAATATATTCTACAATTACTTGTTTCGGTATGTAAATCATTAAAATAAGAAAACTATAATAAATGACATAACTCAAAATTCACTTTGATGTCTACATATGTACTTAAGGGCAAGCACAGTCCCCGAAAATGTCCGGTTGTTACAAAAAGAGAGAAGGATACGAAAACACAATAGCGGTTAGTAGGAATCATCCCACAATGGGAAAGACTCACCTTAACCCTCTAGTTTATGACCCTCTAAAGATACAAAGACAGTATCCTCTTTGAAGAATGAATTGCTAGCATCTGATAATGATCTATTCTCGTGAAGGAGCACTAAATATAAAAGCAGTATGGCAAAGCCGAAAAATTGTAATTTAGTTTTAGGCAAACTTAAGTACCTACCTAGGAGATTCTATTTTAAAACTATTAGATAATGTTCAAGATATTCCTATGTAATCTATGTCTATGAACATACTAAGGCACTAAGTTTATAAAAAGATCAGTCGTCATTTACATGCACTCACTCACCATTGAGTAAATATACTGAGAGCAAAGTGGTGGGCTCAGGCTTAAGAGGACAATGCTATTGGAATAAAATATAATAGTTAATCTTGTTGGTGGATTGCTTGGTTGATTCCATTGCACTAATCCCTCATCTTTGGTGAATCCTTCACATTTGAACTCCTTCTATTCACTTTAACTAGTTTAACCTATTTGCACAAAAACTATTCCAGGAACTATCTCCAGAATTTAAGCAGCATTTGGACAATAATTGAAAAAAAGTTTGTGAAAACTTTAGGTGTGTTTGAATGATTCTTTTTGCATGAAGAGTTTCTTGAAAACATTCGTCAGAAACACCCCGAAACTACAACTTCAAAAAACAGTATTGAAAAAGATTTTTTTTGCAAATACAGCTTAAGATACCTTGACAAACACCAATTTAATTTAATTTTTTGCATATTCTAAAGAAGAAAAAAATCATTGACAAAGCCACCTAAAAAGAACGGAAGCTTTTTATTTAAAAGGAACAAATTCAGGCAGCCCATGATTTCAATTTTTTCTCAAGTTAATAAATGTATGTTGAACATCAAATATGTACTTGGCACCCACAAGGCCTTGGAGATGGGAGAGAAGTGTATTTTAAAAAAATAGTAAGAACAGAAGCATTAAGAGATACCTTCCTCCCCTCACCCAATCTTTGCCTAACTATTTGCCCAAGAGTTGGCTGCAAATTAATAAGAAGAAGTCACTTATCCACCAATTATATATAAAGGGATAAGGGGTAAATCAAAAATATTTTTCTACCTTTATGGGCTGAAAGAACTCATCAATGACATTTTGTGCATTTGAATCCTCTGAAGGGGGGCTAACTTCTGAAGTCGGTATATTTTCACTAAAATGTCTGCTTACACCAGAACTACCAGGTGTAACAGCTTGTTGCTTAGGATGTCTCCTCTGTGGTCCACTAGGTGATCTCAATATTCTCCAGATAAATACTATTGCAAATGCAAGACCTGCTATAGCTCCTGCAGATCTTGAGTCCTGCATTTACAAAAAATAGATGTTACCATCTAAGAGAATGTAGCACAACATTTAAAACATATTTCTTTGGAATGCCATGGGATTTATTTTAGTTTTTTAAAAAGAGCTATTGTAACACTACTTCCTTTATGATAGAAAGATTATATCTGCAAGCAATTAGATAAATGGCAGTTTATTGGTTTTGGAATTGCTTGTTCTGTGTCCATTGTCTTCCTCAATTTTACAAGTGGTAGAAAAATTCTGGCAGACACACTTTAGAAGTCCCGAAACACTACATTGTGCAGTCATCTAATTCTACAATTTGATATTTCTCAGGCTATGGAGCAGTTGTCTTAAAACTATGTGCAACATACTGGGTCATGCCAAAGCCAATGATTTTCAGAAAATTCGATCTGAACCGGGGAAAAAAGTTACCATCATGTTGTCAAAATTAAGTGTGTTGAAAACCATCAATATTAGATGGGACTTTAAGTACTAACTAGAAATAAACAGTGGATTTTAGTGAAGACACATAATGAGGGAAATAATGATTTATATAGGTAATGCAAGAAAAATAACTACAAAAGGAACAGCAATTATATGGACAAATGAACTAAAAAACCTACAAAGGAATGAAATATATGAAGTTATAACAATGCAAATCAAATCTGAAAATCATTTCAAACTTCTGATAGATGTGCAAATGTGCAAAAGTTTCTAGTTTAGACTAGTAACTGGTCTCCTAATACTAAATTCTAAATTTTATTCCTAATCAGAAAAAGTCCATTGCCATAATACTTCTTAACAATTATTATATCACTGGTTCTGCCTCCTACAAAGATATAACCCGTGGAACAATCAAAATTTAGCATTCCATATCTGCTTGTTCTCCCCTCTCTGATTCCCAATGAACCATATGATCTTGATCTATAATCCTTCAAATTGGTCTAATCATATGTAATTAAACACTAATACCTAATCATATCTAACCTGAATGGATTTTTTAGGTACAATTCCACCAACGTTTGTTCAGGCAAAACCATCACCTAAACAAGCTGAAGCACTGGGTCTACTTTCAGGGTTTAAGCATGCGGTAGTCGAACCTTTAACAACACTGATAATCAACAAATTAATCAGTAAAACTATCTGAATCCTCACAAACATTGTTTATATAAGAGGTAATGGTCAAAAACACACATGAACTATCACCTTTTCACGAGTTTCACACCCCAACTAAAAACTGTTCTCCTACCTGAACTATCACCATGTTCCTCCTTACTTGAACTATCACCATCTATGTATTAAAACACACCTTGAAGCTCACTAGGACAATTATGAGTTGTTCCCTTTTCCTACCTAAACTACACAAGCATTGTTTATACAAGAGGTAATGGTCAAAAACACACCACAACTATCACCTTTTCACCTATCTCTTACCCAACTATCAACTATTCCCTTTTCCTATTGAACTATCACCATGTTCCCCTTATCTAGCTCAATTGTCACCATTCATGTATTAAAACACAGCTTGAAGCAGAGTAGGCCAATTATGAGTTGTTCACTTTCCCAACCAAAACTATCTAAATCCTCAAAACCATTGTTTATATTAGAGGTAATGGTCAAAATCACATCTAAAAACTATTATTGTTTTGTGAATTTCACCCCGACTATCAACTGTTTAGTTTTCCTACTGAACTATCACCATGTTCCCCTTTCCTAGCTCAACTATCAGCATTCATGTATCAAAACAGACTTCGAAGCTAACTAGACTAATTATGAGTTGTTCCATTTTCCTATCTGAATTATCACTATCTACTCAACTAGGTGATAGATAGTTCAGTTGGGAAAATCAAACAATTGACAGTTGAGATCTGAAACTCACCAAAAACTGATAGTTCAAATTTGTTTTTGGCCATTATTTCTTCATATAACACAATAATATAAAATTAATTCCTCAATTTCACCAAAAAGGATCAAAAATTAAATTCCAAATAACAAGCGCGAGAGCGAGAGAGAGGAAAAAACCAGTGTTTGTGAGAGATTAGAAATCTTGAGAGTAAGAAATGCCCCAATTCTCTTGAGGAGCTGGAGGAAATCGTCCTTGGAGGAATCAGCCATAACCTCTGAAATCTTCAAAGTTGAGAGAATTCAGTGATTCGTTGGTAGTGTGGAGCCGATGAAGATTGATCAAGTTCTCCGCTGTTGCAGAATGTTCTAGAAGAAATCGATCTTGCAGAGGAAGCTTCGATTGAAGAAGAAGAAAAAAGGTAGGAAAAAGGATACATCTATTTTCATGGCGGGCCAATATTAGGACCAGCATTTAAGTCGTAACCGAAATTTATTTTATAAATTTTACAAGTTTTGACTATTTTAGAAAATTTCAAATCATATACTCCCTCCGTCTCATTTTATGTGACACTTTTCACATTTCGAAATTCAAACAAGTCTATTTTTGACCGTAAGTTTTTCATATATCCTTTTAACATTTTGAATTATTAATTATTATGACTTATAGTACTTTTTATGTAGTTTACAAATATATAAATTTCATTTCAAAAAAATTGAAGATTTCATACGCAAATGTCCGATCAAAGTTAAACTGTTTTACTCTCGAAAAATAAAAAGTGCCACATAAATTGGGACAGAGAGAGTATCATATATATAAAAGAGAACCCTAGGTCCGCCTACGTGGTGCCACCACAAACCAGAATTCCTTTTAATTTATTTATTTTCATAACTAGCCTTCCCTTTTCATGAAAAGTTGTGACTTTTATGAAGAGTTACGACTTTTATGAAAAATTGTGACTTTTTATTAAAGGTTGTGACCTTTTCGAAGGGTTGTTAGTTTTTCAAAGAGTTGTGACCTTTCCGATAAGGCACAATAAACATTTGTTCACACTACCCTTTATTTTCTATAAATAGAGGGATTTCCTGCCATTATTATTTGTAGGTGTTTTTTCGATGTAGGGTAGTCGAATTCAAATACATTAATTAAGTTTCTTACGAAGTTTGTTTCATTCCTCAAAGTTTTCTTCCTCTTATTTCATGGAGCTTAATCTTTACTATAAGTCATAGTGATTCATGTAACTATGACAATTTCTTTTTGCTATTTTGGTGACTTTTCTTTTACTCTGTTAAAAATTTCAGCAAAGATGATTAAAAAATTATCTTCTCTTTTGTCCCTTTCTACATGTTTTTTCATATACTTTTTGGAAAAATTGCTTGTGGGTTGTTCTATATTTGATAGCACACAATAACAAATATGTGATAACTAATACGGAACCAATGATGAAGTTTGTTAAAAGAACCAAACAGATTGCTCTCTTACTTGCCACAATAAGTATATTATTTTGATTGATTTTTCTTAGGTACAAGCAATTCGTATGTCATTGCACTCTTCCTAGAATATTAGTATAGACACAAGTAGACAACTTTTTAGTCGCAAGTTAAGTAATTTGTCATACTTCTCCGTCTCTTCTTTTTGGGCATAATAAGAGATCAAGTTTTCTTGAAACAAACAAATGTCCAAATACACTATAACCAAAATAATTTTTATAGGCAATAAATATGCACGTTAACAAAGAGTGTTTGAGCCTTTACCGATATTAATTAATTGTCATTAGATTCAATGTTGCTATAAACTTTAGGGACATTTATAAAGAGTACCAATTGCCTGTGAAAATACATATTTAGCGACAGTTAAGCTATTAATTGCCGTTAAATATCATTTTTACTGTAGTGATAACTCTTTATTTTGATAAAGTTTTTTGTTTTTTTAATAAAGAAGTGACAACTCTTTCTTTTTGATTATTTCAATTAAATTTGTGACCGAAGGGTTGTTACTTTTCCAAAGAGTTGTGACCTTTCCGATAAGGCACAATAAGCATTTTGTCATTCTCCGAGTCTACACCCCGGACGTGGCTAGCACTCGAGAACCATTGTTGGCCCCAAGCGAACTCTTGGCCTGGCTTACTTAACTCAACGAAAGACTTAACTTAACAAGATAATCTCAAAAGATAACTTTAAAGAGATATAACACTTAGCCAAAATGGCAACTAAAGTCTTTAAACAACATTTGAATGATAAAGTAAAGACAACTGAACTACTAACTGTCTGTGAAGCCTCTAAACAAGGAGGGATGTCGGGACAGGACCCCCGATCATCCTTACAACTGATAACTAGAAAAGCAAGGTAAAAAGGAGCCATCTGGAAGCAAGGAGGCTCACCAAGTGACTCTGAGTGCTGAACCTGATCAACGAGACGCTGGATGCTGATCCTGGTTACCTGCATCTGCATCATAAGACAATGCAGGCCAACTAGCATTAGTACATTAAATGTACGAGTATGCGAGTTGGAATGCTAAACACAACTTAAGCTTGAAAGGAATCTCAAAGAAGCACTTACCTTGGCTCTTCTCAACTCATGAATACTTAACTCAAAATAAAGCAATGAAACACATGCAATATATGAAAAGCTTTGTAAAACAGTAAAAGCAAGTTAGTTCGTTAAACAAAATGCAATAATAAACTCAACTTTACTCATATAATAAAGTAATATAGTTTTTGTGGGAGTTTCTCTAACCGACAACCA